ACAGATCTATATCGATAAAAATAACACTTTTTTTGATATTGATTGTTTAGATATTAATTTTCATCCTCTTGTTTATATGTCTCGTACAGAAAAATATATTAAATCACTTGTAAAAGATAACAAATTTATTTCGAATATCATGTAATATTTATTAATAACAAAAAAATATATATAACAAATAAAGATATTTCTACTCAGTATACATACCGAGTAGAATTTTATTCACGTAATTTTATTATTTACAAAAATGCCTGGAGTTAAATTTACTCACAATTTACTTACAGGATATCACTGTCAACCATGTTATGAAAAATATAAATGTAAAAAACCAATTTCTGATAAAAAACGAAATGAACGTGAACAACAAACCGAACAGTCGGAAGGAATTGATATACGTCCTGAATATAAACTTTGTAAAACAAAACATTGGCCATGCTGTGAAAAAGATGGATGTAATAATAGTTGTATGTTGAACAAATGTAATGATATTATATGTTTACATTGCAAAGAAAGGAATATAAATTGCAAAAGATTTTTTCCTACTTCTCAAGAAGAGTTTAATAAAATTAAACACTTGGTTGATTTTATTATAACAAAATTTGAACGTACGACTTTTGGATCTCTTCATTATCATACGTATATTCAATTAGTAAAACAATTAACAATGAAGCAGATAAAAATATTATTAGAAAGTGATAAGATATTATTTTCTAAAGGAGTACTTCTTAAAGGTGATTCTAAGCAAGCTCATAATTATCTTCTTAAACATTTTAGTAGATGTATGATCTATCATAGTGAAGAAAAAGGAAAATACTGTAAATGTAATTTCTTCAAACTTGAAATTGGTGATTGTAAAATCTGCACAGAAGATTGTCAACAATATAGAAAAAAAGAAATTCTTGAAGAAGAAGGTGCTATTGTATATAGCTTTGGCAATTATCGATATATAACTGGAAACTCAGATGATACAAATGATAAAATAAATAACAACAATCTTGAAGATCAAGAAAAGAAAAAATATATAATTAGAAATCAAATCAAATCTGATCAAATAGTCTTAGAACCAGAACTTATGCCAACAAGTTGGGTTAATACATATAGTGAACTTAAAAAAATCGAAAAAAGGCAAGAAGAATTAAAAAACAAAGTGAAACAAATTCCTGAAAAGAAATTTTATCCAAAAAATTTCTTGTTATATGGTGATTCAGGATCCGGAAAGACAACTCTATTAAAAAACTTAGCAAAAGCTTTATCGAATGGTAGAGAATATTGTGTGAAAGCTTAAGATAAAGAGTATATTGATGAATATAATAATCACGAATGTGTAGTAAAGTAGGAACTTACATTCGATACATTTACTTTGAATAATCTTTTAAGTGTGACCT